GTTTCTAGAATGTGCCTTTCTTCTTCCTTTTTTTTTTTTTTTAAAATCAGGATATGAGACCCATTTTGCAGTTTTTTGCTACAGCTTCCCCTTTCCACTTTGTCTTCTTCTGCCTAGCTGAAGACATTTAAGTGAAGAAGGCCACTTTGAGCTCTTCCCCTGCGTGGCTCGCAAGCAAGGAAAGGGCATTTGAGGAGGATGGGTAGGATTCTTTTTCATGAACAGTGTGGTAGCCCTTGATCTGAGGACAGAGTCTGGGTACAGAAAGATGGACTACAGAGGCTAGTAGCTTAATGGTTTAATCCCTAGCACGGGCAGGATGGGGGATCAAATGCAAACGCTGGATATTCTGTTGTTTTCTTTGAGAAATAGACATTAAAGAAAAGCCTTTAAGGAATGGCTAAGAGCACAGTGTCCAGAGTCACACTGCCTGGCTTTGTCATTTAGAATGTTGAAACCTCAGTTTTCCCATCTTTAAAATGGGGGTGAAAACAGCACCCATTTTCTAGAGTGGTTATGAGGGTCAAAGTGATGTTGTACCCATCGGCCACACCACAGTGCCTAGTTCATTAAGTGATGGCTTCTGGAAGTTGAAGCCTTTAACTTCAAAAACCTTGGGAGAGAACAAAATGTCCACTATAGCCTATCCCCTAGAAAGTACCATCATACAAATTTTTAATGTAAGAGTCTTACACTTTATATGTGTACCTGTAGGAGCTTTGTTCATTTAAAATCTGATCATTTTCCCATGCCTGTAAATCATTTCCTTAAAGAAATCATTTTGATGACACATAGACTTGCGTGTACTATGAGTTGTTTAGAGTCTGGTGTTTGCCCGCTTATTTCTAACTTTCTTTTCCTGGTATGAACTTCGTGATGAATGACCTTACATCTCTCATGCACCTGCTGTGCTGTTTCCTTAGGCTAGACTCCTGGGATGGAGAAACTGCTGAGTCAGAGGGCCTGTACGCTGCCTGAGTGCTGCAGGAAAGAGGCAGTTGTTGCTTCTCCCTGGGGTGGAGGGGAGCACCCCGAGAAGCGGGCCTCTCTGCCTGCCCACTGACGTCCCAGCGACGCCTGCCCTCTGGGTTATTCATGGAGGCAACAGTTTCTCTCGCTGTCTCTATTCTCTCTTTGTTTTTCTTTCCTTCCCCTTTGTTTCCCTTCTTGGTTTCCTGCCAAACAGCCCCTTGTGAAAGGACCGCCTAATTAACCCTGTGCTAATTAACAATTTAAAATTACACAGTGCGACTGTTCATGTTTAATTCTCTGGGAGCTGGAGCAACAGCGGGAGCCTCCTCCCCTTCCTCATAACTGCACCCCTCCCTGTCCTTCCCAGAACTGTTGGATTTTACCTAGCCCCGTCTTCTTCAAGGAATCCCATCGAAATTTGTAGCACATCTCTTTAGTTTACAGAGGGAGACAGATATCTTGCCTGATGCAGACCCTAAGAGCAATCGAGGGGAGTTTTTTGTTTTGTTCTGTTTTGTTTTTTGAGAGAGGGTTTCTCTTTGTAGCCTGGGCAGGTCTTAAACTCAAGATCCTCCTGACTCAGGCTCCCAAGCATTGGGATTACAGGTGTGTGTCACACTGCCCAAATAACATGGTGGACTTTCATCCTTCTGAGCAAGATTTGAAAAGCAGAGGCTGATAGTTGTAAAGATTCAGTGGGCTATAAGGGATGAGACTTCCACTTGGAAGATGAACACAGGTAGGGGGTTTCTTGATGAAGGTGATAGAATTTTTCTGCACAAGATTGCTTGTCCGATGGCAGATTTCAACTCTGAGGAGGAGAGCACGCACGAGAATGAATGCCAGTGAGATCACTTTTTTGTCTTCACTTGAACTTTGTCATTGGAGAGATGTACTCTATTAAAATGTAGCTGAATTCTTAAATAAAAATAATACCATGTTCAAGAACAGTAGTGGGGGTTGTGATTTGCACACCAGGACACTGAAGGGAGTTTGTGGGTGTAAGCAGCAGAAGGATACGCAAGCTGCTGCAGGAGGGGTCGAGGGTGTGTGAGGGGCAGGGTCCAGGCATGGAGCCGGGGGCTGGAAGGGGTGTGTGAATGCTGGCTGTGCGGAGGGGCTGCCTGTGAAAGTGCGGGGACCCACTCGGTTCCCAGGCTGCCCTCTGTAACTGAAGATCATTGATTTTACGGGAAACCATGTTTACAGACAGAGTGCTGATCGACCTGCCGAGTTGACTTCTGCCTCCTTAAGTAAGAACTACCTTTTTCTTATTGACTGGCTGATAAACAGAGTGAGCGCGACGGCCGGCTGGGTGGGAGAATGGTGGGTGCCTGAGGTCCTTGAGCTGCAGGATGAGGCAGGATGAAGAGATTTCTTCATGTCACTGCTCCAGTCCCCCTTGTCCATCATTATCCCCGCACCTCCCAGGGGCCGGTGGGGGTAGGCATGAAGCCATCTTTCCCTCGTTACCTAGTGATACAGGTGCCAAGCACAGACACGCTGGCCACTTGGTAAAGATGTGAAGCAGAGAGTGTCTCCAGCTGTAATTCCGGTTACCTGGGGATGCTGTGAAAAGGCAGATTGTGATGGAGCCATGGAGTTGCTGGGAATCTGCATTTCTCACAAGCTCGGTGGTGAGGATGAGGCTGTCTGTCCACGAACCACACTTTGCTTATTAGCAAAGTTGTCAAAGGTTCTGCTGTCTTCGTGGCCAGCATTCCTGGAAAGGAGGCCCAGAGCAGGCAGCGTGGATCCAGAAAAGGGGTTCTTTTTCACCTGTGTCTTAACAGGTGATTACCTGCTGTGAATGAGTGGCCCCTAGCGTGACCACCACAGAGTCATCTGTCTCCCACAGGTAGTCACAGTGTCATTTCTTGACACCTGCTTTGGCCTAGAAAGTTAGGGAGTTTTAAAGAGGCCCAGCTATTTAGCTGGATAGTTTGTGGAAGAGGAGGAGGAAGGAGAGAGCAGAGCAAGAAAAGCCCACCAATTAATTGGTAAACGCTTGCAGGTTTCTCTGGCCCAGCCCAGGCTGGAGAGGAGATTGGCTTTGCTGTCGATAAACAAGTCCCTGGTGCGGCATCAAAGCTGTTCTCCTTTATCAATCGTGGCCTCCCCTTCCTGCATGTTCCTGTAACTTACCAAGCATTTATGACATTGATTTTACAATCGGGCTGTTAACCCTCCCGCCCCTTCAGGCCTGCCAACCTTTGTGGCCTGAGCTGTCAATCAGATGTCATCTGGCCAATCAGAAGCATCCTTTAGAAGAGCCACCCTGGATTCTCACCTGTATCCCAGCTAAGCCTTGCAAGAAGTCCCATTGCATTTGCTGTTGGGTTTGGGCTGGCATCGTCATGTCTGTTTCAAAGGAACGCATCTTTCCTAACGTACACAGACCTTTGTTGTCACGGAGTCCGAGATTACAAATTGAAAGCTGATTGTGTGTGTATGTGCGTTTTAAACAAATCATGGTACATTCTTCCAAAAAGTTATTTCTCCTGAGACTTCTGGTAAACCTGCCTTCCCTATCTTTTCCCGAGGGGGAGCTGTTGGCTCACTGTGTAGTCAAGAATGGAGAAACGAAAAAAGAACGAGAAGATGAGGGGTGTAGGGGGTGGGGAGAGACCAAGCACAGCCAAAACCTTCACGTGCTGTGTATGAATGAGGAGAGGGTGGAGGCGTCGCCAAGTGTTCTCCAGGAAGGAGGAGCCTGGGAAGGATGGCCAAGGATCTGCGGAGGAGAAATCAGGGCTGCGGAGGTGCTGAGTTGCCTGTAGGAGCAGCGCTGAGATGGAAGAAAGGCCCCTGTGATGATATTGCCACAGGAGCCAGGTGGCTGGTGATCTGAGGCTGGCTTCCTCAGGGACACAAGGTCTCAGAGGGCAAGTTCAGCTCAGTGGCACTTTGGAGTCGGAAACGGAAAAGCCCCAGGGCTACAGGACAGCTGCTTGGGTAGTGACTAATAACTAAGAGGCAGGTGTGGAACCGGGGCTCCCTGAGCCCAGCTGCCGTCTCGGCTTGCGCTAAGATCCTTGATAGCAAAACCCACCAAGCACGTGGTGAACGGGCTCCCTCCAGACGGGGTGAGGCAGAGCTGCCGGAGGGGGAGTTGGCAGATTGGGAATCTGGTCTGTTCTTACTAGAAATATGAAGCTCACGCTTTGCACCTGCATAATTTTAGTCTGCAGTCAGTCAAGTCCCAGGTTGGGGCACAGGACAAGGGAATTTGGGGACCTGTGTTCTCTTTTGTTTGGTGATCAGGGTGGTGTTAGGCTTATTTTGGGGTTTAACTCCTCAATTTTACTGCTTGTCAAATGTAATTGATGCTTCTGAGACCTGGAGAGGCGGGTTGCTGGCATTGGCCCTGTTGGGGATTGTGAAGGGGTGTCCAGGCCTGTGCTCTTGTCCCCTGAGCCTCACAGGCCTCTGTGACCTTTGAACTTCTCCAGCTAGACACGAGGCCAGTCAGAGCAATAACAGTGATTTGTCAAATCAGTGCACGACTCCAGTCTTACATCCTTTTCCTGCGGGTGCTCGCTGTCTTCCTCCTGTCCCTTCCCCGTGGTGCTCTGTCCCATCGACAGCATGAGGCAGGGTGGACTGTGCCCCGGGGCCTCCATGCTGTGACCTCCTGGAGGGCTGAGGAAGAACAGCCCTGCTCCCAGTGGCTCACTGGAGCAGCGCCAGGCTGTGCTGGCGCAGAATGCAAATTCAAACTGGTCTTCAAGGCAGGGTGCCGGTAGCATGAAGGCGGAGAGGCACGCTCCCGATTGCCTTCCTCCATGCCCCCGGCTTGTGTTCGGACCCGGCCGTCATGCCCACGGGCACTGCCACCCTCTGTGCTGGCCGGCTCGGGCCATGTCCCCAGGCCGGCCCTCTGCCCTGTGGGCTCTGTGTTGTGGGTGTGGACAGAAGCCTCTTAGAGCGCTCCTTGCGCGGGACCTTAGCCTCGGCCCTCCTAACCTCTTTCCTTTCTCTCTCTCTTTCCCCTCTCTCCCTCCTCCCCCCTTGCCTCCGCCCTTCAGGTCCGATCCGTACTGGGTGCAATGAAAGCTCCACGCAGGCCTTACCATGGAAGGCTGTGACTCGCCCGTCGTCTCGGGGAAGGACAATGGGTGCGGTATCCCTCAGCACCGGCAATGGACTGAACTCAACAGCACCCACCTCCCCGACAAACCCAGTAGCATGGAGCAGCCCACTGGCGAGAGCCACGGGCCCCTGGACGGCCTGAGGGCCCCCTTCAATGAGCGCCTGGCGGAGAGCAGCGCGCCCTCGGCCGGGCCCCCCGCCGAGCCCGCCAGCAAGGAGGTCAGCTGCAACGAGTGCTCGGCCTCCTTCGCCAGCCTGCAGACCTACATGGAGCACCACTGCCCCGGCGCGCGCCCCCCGCCGGCCCCGCGAGAGGAGAGCGCCAGCGACACCAGTGAGGAGGGCGAGGAGGAGAGCGACGTGGAGAACCTGGCTGGCGAGATCGTCTACCAGCCCGACGGCTCCGCGTACATCGTGGAGAGCCTGAGCCAGCTGACCCAGGGCGGGGGCGCGTGTGGCAGCGGCAGCGGGCCCCTCCCCTCGCTCTTCCTGAACTCGCTCCCCGGGGCGGGGGGCAAGCAGGGGGACCCTTCGTGTGCTGCACCCGTCTACCCGCAGATCATCAACACTTTCCACATAGCCTCATCCTTCGGGAAATGGTTTGAGGGCTCAGACCAGGCGTTCCCGAATACCTCAGCCCTGGCGGGGCTCAGCCCCGTCCTGCACAGCTTCCGCGTTTTTGACGTGCGACACAAAAGCAACAAGGATTACCTGAACAGCGACGGTTCTGCCAAAAGCTCCTGTGTATCCAAAGATGTTCCCAACAATGTGGACCTGTCCAAATTCGATGGCTTTGTGCTCTACGGCAAGAGGAAGCCCATCCTGATGTGTTTCTTGTGCAAACTCTCCTTCGGGTACGTCCGTTCGTTTGTGACCCACGCGGTACACGACCATCGAATGACCCTGAGTGAAGACGAGCGGAAAATTCTTAGCAATAAGAACATCTCCGCTATCATCCAAGGGATTGGCAAAGACAAAGAACCCCTTGTAAGTTTTCTGGAACCAAAAAACAAAAACTTTCAACACCCTTTAGTTTCCACAGCTAACCTCATAGGCCCCGGACACAGTTTTTATGGTAAATTTAGTGGCATTCGAATGGAAGGGGAGGAGGCTCTCCCAGCTGGCCCTGCCGCTGGCCCTGAGCAGCCCCAGGCTGGTCTCTTGGCCCCCAGCACCCTCTTGAACCTTGGCGGGCTCACCAGCTCGGTCCTGAAGACCCCCATTACCTCAGTCCCCCTGGGGCCTCTGGCTTCCAGTCCTACCAAATCCTCAGAGGGCAAGGACTCTGGGGCAGCTGAAGGAGAGAAGCAAGAAATGGGCGATCCGGATTGCTTCTCCGAGAAAGCAGAGCCAGCCGAGGAGGAGGAGGCGGAGGAGGAAGAAGAGGAAGAAGAGGCGGAGGAGGAAGAGGAAGAGGAGGAAGAGGAAGAGGAGGAGGAGGAAGACGAGGGTTGCAAAGGACTCTTTCCAAGTGAGTTGGACGACGAGCTGGAGGACAGGCCCGCTGAGGAGTCTGGGGCAGCAGCAGGTGGTAGCAGCAAAAAGGACCTTGCTCTCTCAAACCAAAGCATTTCTAACTCCCCCTTAATGCCTAATGTGCTCCAGACCTTGTCGAGGGGCACAGCTTCTACTAGTTCTAATTCCGCTTCTTCCTTTGTTGTCTTTGATGGTGCGAACAGGAGGAATCGTTTAAGCTTTAACAGTGAGGGCGTCAGGGCCAATGTGGCAGAGGGCAGCAGGAGGCTGGACTTCACTGATGAAAGTGCCAATAAAGACAATGCCACAGCACCAGAACCAAATGAAAGCACAGAGGGCGATGATGGGGGCTTTGTCCCACATCACCAGCACGCTGGCTCCCTCTGCGAGCTTGGGGTTGGGGAGTGCCCCTCGGGGAGTGGCGTAGAGTGCCCCAAATGTGACACGGTCCTGGGCTCCTCCCGCTCCCTGGGCGGCCACATGACCATGATGCATTCTCGTAACTCGTGTAAGACACTCAAGTGCCCCAAGTGCAACTGGCACTATAAGTACCAGCAGACGCTGGAGGCACACATGAAGGAGAAGCACCCGGAGCCGGGGGGCTCCTGCGTCTACTGCAAAAGCGGGCAGCCCCACCCCCGGTTGGCACGAGGTGAGAGCTACACTTGTGGTTACAAGCCTTTCCGCTGCGAGGTGTGTAACTACTCCACAACTACCAAAGGCAACCTCAGTATTCATATGCAGTCCGACAAGCATCTCAACAACATGCAGAACCTGCAGAATGGAGGGGGGGAGCAGGTCTTCAGCCACACTGCTGGGGCGGCGGCGGCAGCAGCGGCAGCGGCGGCCGCAGCAGCCAACATCAGTAGTTCCTGCGGGGCCCCCTCGCCCACCAAACCAAAAACCAAACCCACATGGCGGTGTGAGGTGTGCGATTATGAGACCAACGTAGCTAGGAACCTCCGCATCCACATGACCAGTGAGAAGCACATGCATAACATGATGCTGCTACAGCAGAACATGACCCAAATCCAACACAACCGCCACCTGGGTCTCGGCAGCCTGCCCTCACCCGCTGAGGCTGAGCTCTACCAATACTACCTGGCCCAGAACATGAACCTGCCCAACCTGAAGATGGACAGTGCTGCCTCGGATGCCCAGTTCATGATGAGTGGATTCCAGCTGGATCCCGCCGGGCCCATGGCCGCCATGACACCTGCTCTAGGTGAGGCTTTCCGCGTGTTTGTTTGCTCTCGTGAAAGGAGTGTCACTGGGGAACATGGACACTAGGCTGAGAGTAGTCCTGTTGATCCACTTGGTTTTTCTCTGCTTGAGTTGATTTGTGTAAGGAGTATCTTACAATTGAATGTTTTCCCTCAAGAATCTCTTGAATTGTGTGTGTACATATGGAAGATTTTACGTATTCAACAGAGCCGTGATTGTACTCCGGCTATGTAGGACTGGGATTAAAATTTTAAGTGTTTCCTCTAGTTTTTGGCTTCTGGTCAACCTCAACCGTCCTTTCTGTTCTCATTCTCTCCTTTCTTTCTCAATTTGAAAAATCACCATAATCACTCACAACTTTTGGGCTCCATTAAATATTTATTGAAACTTACAGGAAACTAGCTGGGATAGTCATCTCAATAAGAGGAATCGGGACAATTATCTCAAATAATTTAAATAGGGACAATCATCTCAATAAGAGGAATTTGAAACCATAGCATACCTTGTTCATATAACTGAAGGCTGCTTCTATGCTGAGCTGGGAACCACCCAGAGAGACTTCTCACTGTGCTCTGTGTATTTATGAGGGTGTTGATGAAAGAGATGTGGTCTTTTTCTTTCTTAGTTTGCATTAGTTGTTGGTTATTAGAGTAGTTGGGAATTAATTGGGAATTAAATTGCCCTGGGGACATTGTAATGAGTGGTGTGATAGATGAAAAATGAATAAATTGTAAAATTGTCTATCAAAGAAAGCCAAGTTTTAATGGCAGTTAGATGTTTGGCTAATGAAGCTTTTGTTACCATGAGACACAACTGTGCCTTAAAGAGGTTGAGTTGGCTCTTTCTGGTCTTCATTTGTGTGGCAGTTTAGTGCTAATTGTTGCCCTTGAGTTATATTTTAAGGGTGTCTGCTGGCTTTCTCTTACTGTAACAAATGCCTGAGACAATCAGTTTATAAAGAGAAAAGGCTTATTTTGGCGCACAGTTTTGAAGGTTTTAGTCCTGCTCAGTGCCTCTCATTGCTTTGCACCTGCAGTGAGACCATATATCACGGTGGGAGCACATGGTGGGGGAAGTTACTCGTCTCCTGGTAGCCAGCAAGTGAAAAGGGGAGGGAGAGCAAGAACCAGGACCCCAGGATCCCTTTCAAGGGTACATCCCCACACAGCCAGATTTCCAACGAGGTCCCACATCTGTTAAGGTTCCATCACCTTCCGGCAGTGTCACAAGCTAGGGACCATGTCTTTAACACATGTGCCTTTGGGGGACACTTGTTCAAACGCATAACACCAACTCTTACCAACTGGTTTAATAGTATCTAAAATAGGACCAAGAGTATATAGGGTTTAGATGCTGAAATTGAAGCTCTGTAGGTAGAAAGAGTCATAACCTCTTTTAGGAGAGCTGCTTTTTAGCCTGAAAGTCTACAAAGTAGTGTTTTCATGAGAACCAGCATGATGGTTGGGCTTCTCCTGACCCCAGCCTTGTGTGCCTTGGAAGGAAGACCCTGCCTGTGTTCTATCATGTGACTCTACTAACTTAGAACCAGCGGCAGTGGCCTGAGTTGAACAGTGTCCCATAACTAACATGGAGATAAGTTGTTCCTAGCAACAAACTGTGAGCAAGTACCTTTACTCTGGAATGGTTCTGGGAAACGCAAACTTTTGCCTTTCCTGGGCCATGATTTGTCTTGGGCTGCATAGAACATGTATAATGCAGTTAAAAATATAAGGAACATAACTTCTTGTTTTGTTATAATGTTCAGTAAAAAGGGTAGATGTCCTGTGAGCTGCAGATTGATCACCTCAATGCAAGGAAGCTAAACCTCACCAGCTTGTAGGTCTTCATTTGTGTTGTGTTTTAGTGCTAATTGTTGCTGATGAGTTACATTTCAAAGCATTCAGTTTATTTTTCCTGATATATATTTCACTTTGAATTCATGATACTTTAATCTTGTTTCCCATTTTGAAACATTAACCTATTGATCTTTTATTGCCAAATGATCTGAAGATGTTTTGCCAACTGGTTAACCATGGAGGCATAGGGATCCATCCTCTTAATTGTCCCGAGTGAGCCATGTGCACTGGGAAATGGGCACCACTGCTCTAAGATTTTTTGTTTGTTTTTAAGTCAAAAGGAATTGCAGTATTCTAGTCTAGAGATATGACAGAGGCCTTAGGAGTAAACTAGACATAATGTGAGTGGAACAGTGATGCAGAAAATGAATGGTTCACGTTAGGTCAAAGGAAGGTCTTTTTAATTATCTTTAGAACCAGTAACTACAGCTTGAATTGAGAAGTGGAAAAGTGTTTTGCTCTTGCACCTCATATCAGGCACTGTCCTGAGTGTTAAGTTAGGTGCAAAGGAAGCAGAAGAATGCCTCCCTGTGTTCTAGAAGAGACACACTCTATATCTTAAGGAGAATAGAGCTCTTCCTTATAAGGACCTTCTCCAGCTCCATTGGGAAGGGCTCTTGAGTCTCCAGTGTCACCACTTGTCTCTGGAGACATTCTGTACCTTCCTCAGGCCATGAGATCTGCTGAGATGATGAGCGTTTCAGATGCTTTCTGCTGGAAGCCTTAGTGGGTGTTGGGACAAGAAGTGTCCATAGGGCTTGTAATTAAAATTGGATGACCTCGGAAGGAGAAAGTGACTTATGCAAATGCAAGGAGCTGTAGCTTTTTGTTCTCTCTGCAGCTCTGCTGATTTTCTTCTTTGGGTCACTTGTAGGGTAGCTGTAGATGTTTTTGGATAATATTGGGTTTTTCAGAGGGGAATAATGGTTTCTGTGAAATACATTCCCACTTTGTAAAGGTATTATTCTTATGCTTCCTTTGATAGAACTTACTCTTTAGTTCTGTCAGACAGGTACTGCTCTTGGGTATTCTTCCTTTCCAGAAGACCTTAAGGAGAGGGTTGGCACCCCCTGGTCTGGTATGATGTTGGATCCACGGCTGCTTATAGACCGGATGTTAGGCTGGAGGCCATATGCACATCCTCTGAAACATCCCTTTATTCTCTAAAGGTTAGCACAGCACTGAGGAAGGGTTCGCTTGTGGGGTCACATCTGTGTGTTTCGCAGGTAGCCAGGCAGCCACAGGGTACTGTGTGAGGCTCACCAGAGGCCCTATGGTTCTAGAATGTGCCATCTAATCTAAATGCCTCTCTCAGGATGCACTTCTGGGTGGACTCATGCCAGTGTGTGCTTCCAAACCTACTTAGCTGGTGGAGCTCAAGACTAGAGACTTAAGTTTGTACTTAAAGGAGCTCCCCTACTAACTCCCTTTACATCCGCTGAGGTTCCTGCACTTGGGGGCTAAATTAGTTCCTTCTAGTCTCCTGGACAGGGAGATTCCAGAGCGCTGGTGATGTTTCTCTGAGGTGTGGTTCTTCATGGGAGTTTTGGCTTCCTTGTCAAGCTGGCTTATCTCACCCTTCCCTGCTTTGTCCTGATTTGCATTTCATCTTAAGAGCTTGGAATAGGAACAGGGACTTACTTCCTCTGCTTGTTCTGAGGACTTCTAATTTTCACTCAGGCACCCAGCAAGTGACAGCTGAATTTCTCTTTAGAGCCATATTGATGCGCTGAGGTTAAATTTAAAAAGTGGAGAAGATTTGATGCTTCAGGTGGTTGGCATCATAAACAAATATATGTTTGCTCCTTCTCTTACCCTCTGGGCAGTTTTTACTTTGACTGAACACCGTGTGTGTTTTGTGGATGTTGCCTGCCCTTCGTCCGCACTAAGGGATGGAGTGTGGGTGGTTTTTTTTTTTTTCCCTTCTTTCTCTTTTTTTCTTTCATCCTAAAAAGAATGTCCTAGTTATGCCTCTTCTCACCAGGGGAGATGGCAAGAGAGACGACAAGCAGGAAGCCTCCTAAGCCTTCTGGAATGCGTGTGCGGAACATTTCTGTGACTAGACTGTCCATAGACTTCACATGCAGTCTGTCTTTTCACTTGGGGTGCCTGTATAGTGTAAATAAGAAAATCATTTTAAAAAATTCTTTCTGGATGAGCCACTAACTTGGATTCTAATCAATCACTGAAAAAAAAACCATGTAAAAGGTCAAGTTTAAATATAAGTTAGGGGTTGGGGGTGTATGTATTAAGGGGAAAGGCGGAAAATAGAAGCCGCTGCTCAGATTTCTGTGTGACTGTGTGCGCTAGGTAATAGAGGGAAGACCGCGCCTTCCAAGGCTTTCATGTGATATAAGAACTGGCCGTGTTAACTTCCCACAGTGCAGGGAAGCCCGTTCCTGGTTTATGCAGGGTGATGATGGGCCGAAAAGGACAAGGGTGGAGAGGGTGGGATACCCTTTCTCAGACCCTTTTTAGGGACTCTGAGCTGACCCTCTTGGTTCATTGCCCATCTCAGTCTGCTTCCCAAAATCATGCCACATTGGTTCTCAAAGGCTTTGTATTATAGATTGCAGCTCTGATTTCCAATTTTGGAGGGGTCTAGAGTTTTAGTTTTTGTTTTATCCAGCGAATGGTACTGGTTTCTAACTTTTCTCAAATCCCGAAAAGGGGATGAATTGAAATAATTCAAGAGGCTATGTTCCACCACTTTTCCTATGTGATTTTTTTTCCTGAAGAAGGAAAACACAAAGCCTTCCACAAATCTCAGAATGTTCATAAGAACGAGTCAAACACCTCAAGTGGACTTTGTTTGTTTTCCAACTAGCAGAGCCTTGATACCTGCAGTGTGACCTTGTTCTCCTTGGACCCCAGTTAAGGGTGGTGGAGGGCTGGGTGGGTCCCGGCCTGTGAGCCCGGCCTCTGATTCTCACCTTCTGTCGTTCCCCACAGTGGGCGGTGAGATCCCCCTAGACATGCGGCTTGGGGGCGGGCAGCTGGTGTCGGAGGAGCTGATGAACCTGGGCGAGAGCTTCATCCAGACCAACGACCCGTCCCTGAAGCTCTTCCAGTGCGCTGTCTGCAACAAGTTCACGACGGACAACCTGGACATGCTGGGGCTGCACATGAATGTGGAGCGCAGCCTCGCAGAGGACGAGTGGAAGGCCGTGATGGGGGACTCGTACCAGTGCAAGCTCTGCCGCTACAACACCCAGCTCAAGGCGAACTTCCAGCTGCACTGCAAGACAGACAAGCATGTGCAGAAGTACCAGCTGGTGGCCCACATCAAGGAGGGTGGCAAGGCCAACGAGTGGAGGCTCAAGTGTGTAGCCATTGGCAACCCCGTGCACCTCAAATGCAACGCCTGCGACTACTACACCAACAGCCTTGAGAAGCTGCGGCTGCACACGGTCAACTCCAGGCACGAGGCCAGCCTGAAGTTGTACAAGGTAAGAGCTGGCTCCTTTGTGCCGCGTGCTGTCTCTGCACGGAGTGGATTGGGTACCTGGGAGGTGAAGGAGGACCAGGAAGCAGACAGTTACTCCCTGTTATTTTCCTGCTGGCAGCTGTGTGGCAGCCCAAAGCTGGAAGGGGTGTTGATATCACGGCCTAGTGAGATAGAGATTTGGCAGTGGCTCCAGCTGGAGGCTGAGGTTCTTGTTCTGGGGTGCCCCACTTTGGGAGGCAGGGTTAGTTTATAGCAGCTGGGTGTCATCCCCTTCCACTTTGACTGTTTTTACAGTTGGCCTTTTCCTTTCTCACCACCAGCTTCTGTGGTTCTCTGTCTCCTTCCGGTTCCTGTTCTCCTTTTCCCTCCTTGTATTTCTCTGTCCTGGATGCCCCTGGTGTGGTTCGTCCAGCCAACACTGAGCACCTCCTGCATACCAGGCACTCTTTTAGGTATGCGCCCTCTTGGGGCAGAGAACAGAGCACCCCCTCTGCAATAGCCCTACCTCACAGAGTGTCCTTCCTTGTGGGGGCATGTGGCTGGCATCGGAGGAGCTGATGAACCAGGGCGAGAGCTTCATCCAGACACACAACCCGTCCCTGAAGCTCCGCACGATGCACAACATGAGTAGATTATATGGCAGGCTGCGAGGGGCTCCGTGCTATGGGGAAAAAATAGTCGCAGAAGGGGGCCCTTTGTTTTTTGTTTTTTCCCCTGTGCCTTTTTCTTTGTGTCCCCTTTATCTTCCTTCTGCTGATCTTTTCTCGTTTCTAGGCTTCCCCCTCCTCCTCCTCTCTCTCTGTCCCCTATCCCCTTCTTTCCCTTCCACCCCTCCTTCCTACCCCTCTCCCCCAGTCCTCCTCTCAACTTTGTAGGCCGTGACGGAGGGGAGGGGCTCCGGATACTGTAAATAGTCCTTTCACTTGCACGCCAGGATTGCTCCAGACGTTTCTATTGATTTTCACTGGACTTAAAGCCTCACCTTTTTCTCTAATCATCCCATAATGGCTTTAGTATGAACAATCAGGTACAAATCGCCATAAATCTCCGCGGCCTCATTCCACATACCTTCCACTCCCTTATTTTCTCTCTCCATCTCCCTGGCTGTTATTATCAGTTGCTCTCTCCTTTCACACCCTTTCTGCCATCTTCGGGCGGGCCGGTGTTTAGTGTCTGCTAATCCCGAGCTAATGAAATCCCCTCCCTGTCCATAGTGATTTTAGATGGAGACTCCACCTAAGGAAGAATTCTGATCCTTCGCCCATGTTTGTCTCTGCCAGGCAACTATAATTCATTTTACAGTTGCTTGTTCACAGGGCGGCGGGAGGCCTGTGTGCCAGGGATGAGAAAACATTTTAGGGAAAGGAGGAGCAAGCAAGAGTGAGGTAGCGGGGACAGAATGTTCTGGAAGTGACTGCTCACTCCAGTTGCAGTGCACTGGATATCGGGTGGCCAACTCCTGTATTTTAAGCGAGCAAGAATCTTACTGGAGTGGCTTAGCTTTGTACCATCATTAGAAGAAAATCCTCTTTGCAGTCAGTTTGAATTGGAGATCCAGACTGGCCACAGGATGGTGCCTACGTGATCCGGAAAACCTGATGGAAAAAACCAGTGGAAAAAGAGCTTCCAAAGGACCCACCTGAGTAAAATTTGTACAGAGGACTCAAGGAGGCCGTTGAAGGGTGCACGCATGCCACTTTGATGAAGGGTCCTTTGGAGGTGGTTCGAAGCTGGTCGCCTCCCTCTGTGGGGAGAATTGACATTTAGATTATACAGTGGCCGTAGTGGTGACTAACTGCACCGAGTCATCCACGTGGCCAGTCTTGACTGTGAGTGGACCAGGCACGCGGCCTGGCTTTGGAGGGCTTGGAACTGGGCACATTCACTGATAGTAACACTCCGCCTCTGACCCCAAAACCACATCCTCGGCTAATCCCCAAGAGTTAGGGTGCAGTGTTTTCAGGGTGTGGGGGTGGATATGAAGGAAGCGATTGCTTTGTGTGTTTTTCCTCTACTAACTCTGGTTGCTTATTCTCCCTGGGCATATGTATATATGTATGTATGTATGTTTATTACTAGGGGTTGAACCCAAGGCCTTCCCACTGAGCCCTTTAAAAATTATTATTATTATTATTATCATTATTTTTGAGATAGGGTCTTACTATATTGCTGTTATCCAAGGTGAGCTTGAATTTGTGATTCTCCTGTCTCAGCCTCCCAGAGTTCTGGGATTACTTTTTGCTGTTGTTATTGTTAAGGTGGAGGACCGGACACTTCTGTTCAGAAAGTGCCACATGGTCCTAAATGTTGGCATACTGGGTAAAGGTGAGAGCCGGTAGCCAAAGGAGAGGTGCCCAAATAACACATTTGGCTGGCACATCTATGAGGTGAGCAGCTCCTGAGTGAGTTTCGGGATAGAATTCCCGGCAGCAAGAGCCAAAGGTCTTTAGCGTGGCCTCATTAGTCCTTGGGTAATGAATGTCCCTTCACTTGCTGAGGCTCTGCTGGGGGTGGGGTGCTCCCCCACCCATTCCTGGATGACACAGGATTATCATTCCAGTACCCACCCTGAGCCCTTTTGTCCCTCCGTGTGGTGTCACTAAGACAAGTTTCTCTTACCACCCAGGGGGCTCCCTCTCCCCAGGTTCCCTCAGTCCGTGATTCGGGGTGGAGTTTCCAGGTGGCTCGAGAGTCACTTTTTCTTGAGGCCCTGGTGTGGCCTGTAGTAAATGGAGATTGATTGCATGTTATTTTTCCTCTTGCTAATGTAATCCATTAGCCGGGCACATGCATAATCAGTTTAGAGCACAGTTAACTGGATGTAATCGAGTTCTTTACTGTCTGCTAGAGAAACCGCTCCAGATGCGGCTGACCCGGGGAGGGCACAGGGCTTCTCACTCACAGCCCGCCTTATACACACTGGACACACCCCACACCTCCATACTGTGTCCCCTATCCCTGGCTAATTATTCATGTTCTGCTTGGGGGACCGCTGAAGCTACTTTCTACTGCACCCATGGCGGAGGCCTCCTGGCCTCCTGCTTTTGGCAGAGGCTTTTTCTCCCTTCCTTCCCTCTCCTCTCCCCTTCATGTTGGAGAAGACAGAGCCTTGGTCTCAGGAGACAGCAGACGTGATGTGGCTTTCCAGTTTGTCATTTGATCCCACTCCGGTGCAGTATCACTGCCCTCGGTGCCATAAATGCTGGTACAGGATGTGCGTCCCTAACCTGAAGATCCAAACTCCGCCGTGTCCCAACATCTGATGCTGTTTTGAGTACTGACATGATACCACAGGTGGAAAATGCCACACGATGCATCATAGTCCAAGCACAGGCTCACCAGCGCTAGTTCAGGTACATGTCTGTAATCCCAGCTACTCTGGAGGCTGAGGCAGGAGGATTGCACTCAGGGCCAGTGTGGGCAATTTAGTGAGACCCTGTCTTAAAATAAAAAAATACAAAGGGCTGGGGCTGTAGCTTAGTGGTAGAGCATTCTTGGGTTTTGTCCCTAGTACTACAAAAACGAAACAGAAGTACACTAAAAATATTTTCTAAAATTACCTTCAGACTACGTGTAGGAGGTGTATATGAAACATAAATTTATTTTGACTTTAGATCTGGGTCCCATCCCCAAGATAATTCATTATGTATATGTAGATATTCTAGAGTCAGAAAAAATTCAAAATCCAAAACACTGCTGGGTCCCCTGCATTTTAGATGAGGGATACTCCACCTGTATGTGTTGCATGTTAGGACTGAAATTTTTGGAAGCATGGGGTGATTTTACCCAGACAGGAGATGGTTGGCTGACCTGCAAAAGCCTGCTGATGTTATTTCTGTTGCCTACAATCGTTTGGGTTTGATTATTATGGGATGCCAGTGTTTAAAACAGGGAGAACAGACACATATTCTTCCTCCCCGCCTCCTGGGAGAAGAGGGGCAGGCAGGAGAGCCAGAGCATCAGACAAACGCCTGTTTCCTTTCTGTGGGACCCCCAGGCGACTTCTGCAGTGTGCTCTTGATGGAATTCCTTGGGGTTGTTTTGGCTGTGGTCCAGCCCCTTGGGGTCACAGGTCCACAAAGTTCTGCCCTCATGGGGCCCTCATGTCCAGGGCTCCAGGGCAGCTTTGAAACTGGGTTATTGGTTTCCGTACTTAGGGACCCAACTCAGCTTGGAAGGAGGCGTGTCATGGGAAAGGCGCTTGCAGTTCCACATCGGTCTGCTTTCACACGTACACCCCAGTTCCCATCTTCCCATTTGCCACCCCTCCCACCTAGAGATGCGGGGTGCCCTTGCCTCTCTTGAGTAGGGGAGTAGCTAGTACCAACTGATACCTCCCCAGCCTCACTGTCTTCTGAGGCCAGCTTCTGAGAGAGATCCTGAGTCTGCTGGGGCAGGGCTGGCGCGGGCTGTCGGTGTTTACTGTGCCTTCCTGGCTTGTGGCATCAGTCCTGAGCTCCCTGAGATTTGTGGTCTTTGCAGCTTGGGGGAGGGGTGCAGAAAGGCCATTGGCAATCTGTGCACACCTGTCAACGATCAGAATCTGGTTTTCCCTTTGATGTCTTTCTTCACCTGTGAGTCATTGGAATGGAAATCCATCACCTTTAGCAGATAGATTAAGACCCCACCAGAATCCATTACTCAAACAGTTCCCAGCTGAGGTGCCTTTGATTAGGCCAGGACCCAAGGTTGCATGGTCCTCTTCAATTATACACCAAGAGGGTTGTCTGCTATGCACCGGGTCTGGGCCGTGTGTGAGCTGCTTTGGGCCAGCGAGGTAAACAGATGAGAAGCCAGTGGCTAAGCCACCTTTACTTGGCTTAGAGTTGGAGGCAGACTGAGACACCAGTGTATTAAAATACACACAGAGCCAGATTCTGCAGATGGTGGCCTTTTACTCTTGCTGTCCTCTGAGGAGTCTGCCGTGCGGAAGGAAGTAAGAGGCTCACCAGGGGACTCGGCATTACTTATTTAAACACCTTCTCACTTCTTTCCCTGATG